TTCCTTTCACTCTTTCCTTTCTTTTTCTTGCTTTGCTGTCCTAGCCTTGCTGTACTGTCCAGCACTGCGTTGGATGTGAACACAGTCTTAGTCTCTCATCCTAGCTGCTCTTTCTCAAGCAGAGTAATATTCTCACCTATTTGTAATTTACTGAAAGTTTTTTTTTTATCACAAATATAGGTTGAATGATAGGATGAAATATAGGTTGAATGATAGGATGAAATATAGGTTGAAAGTCTACTCCCTAGCAATTGATTCATTTTTTTCTTTAACCTTTTCATTCGGTAGGTTCTATTTATTACTTGAGTGAATAAACACAAGTAGCTCCATTTTCTAATATAAGAATTTGACATTTATGTTCATGAAAGATAGCTTTTGTGCTTTTGAAAAAACAGCATGATACTGCAAACTTCAATAATTATTTTGGAAGTGGTTGCTTCTTGTCTGTTTTCTGAAAGAGAGTTTGTAAAATTCTCAAGTGAAACTGATCAGGGCAAGGAGATTTATTCTGGGGAGTTTCAAATTTAATTTATAAACCATTATAAGGTCATTCCAGCCATCTAGTTCATATTCAGTGAGTTGTGGTAGGTTGTGAACGGCAAAGCATTTGTCTGTTCATCTAAACTGCCTTAGTTTGCCTTTGGATGCCTTGGGGATAGACCTTGATTCCTACTTGATTTTAACCATCTGTTTCTTTGATTTTCATATCATTGTCAGTGTTTCTACAGTTTCGTAAAGACTATACCAGTTCTTCTTTGCTTCGATGGTTTTCTTTGATTCTCTCATTTTAATTAAATTGATTTCTGCTCTTAATGACCTCCTTCTTTCTGCTGGATTGGAGATTCGGGGTTTTATTTATTTATTTTTTATTTCCCTCCTTTTATATTTCTACTTTATTGAGCAGGGACTTGGGTTATTGATCTGGGGCTTTGTCTGAGTCAGCTCTGGGCCCTGTAACAGAACACCACAGACAGGGTCACTGAACCAGCAGGCATTTGCTGCTTTTGCCTCTGCGCAGCTACCTCAGTGTCTGTGCACATTTGAGAATTCCTTAATGTTTAGGAAAAATCTGGTAGGGTTTGGGTCCATATTATTTTGAATCTTTAAATCAATTTGGGAGAAATTCACAAATTCATACTCTTCCTATCTTTAAGCATGGCATGTCTCCCTATTACTAGGTCTTCATTTTTTAATGGTGTTTTGATATTTGTAGAAAACTTAAGGGTTGTGTTAAATTATTTCTAAATATTTGATATTCAGTACTGTATAATATATCATGCTCAACTTAAATTTTTAATATTTATTTATTTTTATTGGAAAGGCAGATATACAGAAAGGAGAGACAGAGAGAAAGATCCGTCCACTGATTCACTCCGCAAATGGCCGCAATGGCTGGAGCTGAGCCGATCCAAAGCCAGGAGCCAGGAGCCACGCGGGTGTAGGCTCCCAAGGCGTTGGATTGTCTTTGACTGCTTTCCCAGGCCACAAGCAGGGAGCTGCATGGGAAGCGGGGCTGCTGGGATTATAAATAGTGCCCATATGGGATCCCGGGCGCGTGCAAGGCGAGCACTTTTTGGCCACTTAGGCTACTGTGCCAGGCCCTTAGCTTACATTTTTAAACTTATTGTTAACATATAGCATGTAAATGTGTTTGTATTCAGGAGATCTTGCTAGGGTTTCTTTTAGGTTATAATTTAACCATGGCTTTGGACGGGGGGGGGCTTTGTTTGTGTATGATAGTATTCACTACAACTGATTTTACTTTTATTTCTCCTGCTTCAAATCTCCTTCCATTCTCTTCTTTTCCTTATTCTGAAACATTAGAATAGTGGAAGGACATGGTGCTGGGCACTCGCTTCTGATACCAGGGCAAAAATCAGTGTAAAGTTTGCATCCGGCTTGTAGAGACGCCTTTTATCTGATTAAAGACATTGTCTCCAGCTCACTCAAGGTTTTCCTAAATGAACATTGCGTTTTATGAAAACCCTCTTCTGCATCATTCAAGGAGACCCTAAGCTGCCTCTCTCTCTCTCTCTCTCTCTCTCTCTCTCTCTCTGAGTAAAAGGTGGAGCACTTTGGGTGATTTCCAAGTACTCATACATTCTTGGTCAGAACTCCATGTTGGGATACACTGCACTTTCCAAGAATTCCTGAACCCAACTTGCTCTGCTTGGAAGTTTTCCCCTCTAGTCCTTGTCCCCATTTATGTTCAGTTTTGAAATTTTATTTGTAGGAAGAGTTTAATTGGTAGAGGTAGATTTTTAAAGAAGGATTTCTTTATTCGCTTATTTGAAAGGCAGAGTGATGACAAGAAGCGGGGTGGGGCAGGTCTTTCATCTGCTGGTTCACCCTTCCACATCCACCCACCCTTCTCCCAGAGGCTGGTGATAATTAAGGCTGAGCAAGGCCAAGGTTAGGAGCTTGGATTCAATCTGGATCGTCTTGTGGTAGAGACCCACACGTTTGCTTTCCAGGGAACTTGATCAGGGAGCTGGATTGGAAGGAGAGCAGCCAGGACTAGTCCTCCAAGAGGGCATGCTGGCATCATAAGCAGATGCTAATCCACTGCTGGTCTCCTAGTTTGTTTTTCTTTTTATGACTTATTTTCATTTCAATTTGACAAATTGAGAAATAGCAGGAAAGGGACAGAGGCAGAGATCTCTCATCGGCTGGTCCACACCCTGGTGGCGACATGCAGGCATGCAAGACCCTTTCTGCATTTTTAATGTAGCTCTAATCATCCTTATTTGTAATATTTCCCACACTTTTATCTCATCAAGTTTTAGCAAGGATTTTTCTTAAAATTCTCTCATTTTTTGTCAGTCCTATCTATAGAGTTTTACATTTCAAATAAAGTTCCTTGTCTAGATTTAATTTTTCTTGTTTTAAAATTTTATTATTATTATTATTATTTTCCTGATACAGTTTTGTAGGTATAGGATTTCCCGTCATTTTCTCTATATTGTCACAGTAGTATATTTCCTTAGTAATAATTACAAAATTAACCTTCTGCTATATAAGTGTTTCATGGCATTGTAGATATGGGCAGAGGTAGAACATCTAGTACCATACTGTCAAGGTATTTTTAACTATTTCATTGGGAATCCTCCTTTTATTTAGAGTAGAAACACATAATGCAACATATTTTCACTTCCCCCATTATACAGTTCATCTGTGAGAATAATGTATATACACTTGATTACCTGTATATGTATTTCTCTCATATTCTGCATGAAGGTTATCATATATCAGAGAAGATATGATATTCATTCTGTTGGGACTGGTTTATTCCACTGCATGTAATGGTCTCTACTTGGAACCTTTTTGTTGCAAATAGTAGGATTTTATTCTTTTTATGGCTGCGTAGTATTCCACAAACTAGATGTAACACAGTTTCTTCATCCAGTCATCTGGTGTCGCTGTCCCGCAGCGACGGACTTGGTGCACGGAGCCGATAATAACACGCGTGGACCCTGACTGATGGTCAAAGCCGAAGTTTATTAGGGGCATCAGACTTTATACTCTGAGAGTCCATCTGGGGTAGGGGAGAAAGTATCGAGCTCATAAACAAAACCATCAACTGTTTTCGCACTCTAGATTGGAATTCCTATTGTCTTTACATCGCGCTAGGTGTTCTCATTTGCATGCTGTTTACTCGACCCGTGGGAACTATCTCCCAACAGGTATGCAAAGATAGCCATTTGGTTGTTTCCATGCAAATACTGCCCAATGAATGCAAACCTGTGCTCGCTGGCCTTCCAGGCTCACAATGTCCTCCTACAATCTGGTGCTGGGCATCTGGGTTGTTTCCATGTCTTCACTACTGTGAATTGTGCTGTTGTAAATATAGAGTGGTAGGTTGTTTCCTTGTATGCAGATTCCATCTCATTTAGATCTATTTCATGAGGTGGGATAACTGGGTCATCTGGCAGGTCAGTTCTCAGCTGTCTGAGCATGCTCCCTACTGACTTCCATAGGAGCTGCACTCGCCTACAGTCGCACCGACAGTGGAGTAGGGTACCTTTCCCCTCCACGTCTTCACCAGCAGTTATTGCTCATTGGTTTCTGTGTGTAGACCATTCTCATTGAAGACTTAAAATTGGGTCCATCTTGATAGAGTTCACGTCTCTGGGAAATTCTCTGCACTGTGCTTTTGGGGGCTGTACTCCTTGCACTATTTGGGGGCCTGTGTCACTCTGACTCCTGGAAACAAGTAGACGTGCTTTTGTTGTTTATTTGTCCTTCCATGGGTGTCTCAGGTGATTTCTGCTTGACTGTTCGACGATCCGTATGAAACCCTTGACTAGGGGCTGCAGAGGGCATCCTCGCTGTCCGGAGGGGATGCTTTTTGTCCTTCCGTGGACAGTTGCAGGATATAGATCACAGCCTTTCCATCAGGAGTTGAGCTCCTGATCAGGCTGGTCCGCTGCTGATATTGCTTTAATAGGAAACATCTGAGCTTGTTTCTCTCCACTGCCCAATTCTAGCATCTTGATCCCGTGTTTCCTGAGATGCCTTGGTAGGCCTGAACTCCAAGCTCTTTCTTCTCGGTCACTGGAGTTGGCTAGATCATCTCTCCATCTTTTCTGCTGCTCAGTCGCTGCCTTCTGATCAGCTTCTTGTGCAAATGTTTCAAGGCAGGGGATCAGCACACAGTTCTTTGGACTGTGAGTTTGTTTCTCTCCAGGATCTCGGTTAGTCTGAGTGCTCTTGGCAGATCATTTGGAATCCAGATTTTTGTAGTCATTCTTGGGAGGGACATGGACCTGATTAAGCCAGCTCATCATGGGTGGAAGTAGAAGTTCACCATGACCTGTACTTTGAGGGTGTTAGCACGTGAGTGGGTCTAACATAGGGAGGTCTTCCTTTGTGTGTTGGGACTGATCCAACCAGTATATTTTGGAACCACTATTTCTGCCTGGCAGTTGGTCAGGATCTAGAAGCTTTGATGAAAGATGACGACTGTCATTCGTCCGTGACTTGTCTGCTGTCTTTTCCAGGATTTTGTGTCATGCATAGAGAACTACAGAAGACAAGGACAGGAGCTCTATGCATCTTTATACAAAGATCACGTACAGGTAAGAAACAATGCGCCTGCAAAATAACCATTGATGTAAGTAACATTATCTGCATTGGAATCTACCTTGCGCCTGAACAAAGGAACTGGGAAAGTCTTTGAAATGAGATGTAGATGATACTTGTAGGTGTGTGGCCCAAGACAGTCCTTGCTCATCAGTGACTCAGTTACTTCTGGCATGGCCTGTGCCATGGACTTAGGACTCGGAGAATCAGTGCTGGGAGCCCAGAGTGCCCTGGATTCTGGTAGGTGCTGTCAGCACAATAGCGAACATATATATAGGTATGGGTCTTACATTCAGACAGGTTCCCTGCAAAGACAAAACAGAGCTTACATAACTTCACGAGGAAGTAGATGACCATAAAACGTAATGGCCACTAGACCAGGACAGATTAGAACAGAGACGGCACCAGGGGGCCAAGGAGGCAGCCTTTGGAGCTGAGGTCTGATGAGGGAGGATTAAGAGTTGAAAAAATCTGGGAATGAGTGATCCTTGTAGCCTACAAGTGAGCATGTGTGCAGGTGCTGGGGACAGGATGTCTTCAGTTGACTGGAAGTAGTGCCAGGAAGGAGCTGGGCTGGAAGGGAGCAAGAAAAAGACAAAGCAGGAGACAGAGTAGATGGGGCTGGTGCTGTGTTGGCACTTCTGCCTTTGATCCCAAGTCTGATGAGTTGCCACTGAGAAGGACTGGGTGTTTAAAGCATCTCCCCATGGCTGGTATTTCCTACAGTCCAGGCAACAGATTCTCAAGTCCATCAGAACCGGACATGAATGCCAGGGCTGCCCTCTCCCTGTATTCTGGACTTCTGGGTCCCCACCTTTGAGCCAAGGCAACGCTTCCTAGCAGTGAAGACAGAAGAGCCAGTGTGAGGCACCTTTCCTGGAGCAACACAGAACAGGTGCAATCCAGGTGTGGTGCTGATATATCAAGGAGAGATTTTGTAGTTGACAGAACTGTTCCTCAACTGTCAAAGCAATTATGGCTTCTTCATTGTATTGTTCTCTGACCCGCTGGTCCGTTCCCAAGCCTGTGAGAAGCACAAAAAATCAGAGATGCTGCTGATGCTACTCAGGCTCAGAGGTACTTAGAAGAGGGAACCCCCAGAACCCAAAAGAAAACAGAGTGATGAGGCTGGCACTGCGATGTTCCCCGTAGGAAGGGAGGGACCATTTGTGTGTCTTCAGTGAGGCAAGGAGGCAGGAGGGATGATATGGTGCCCAAGTTGTTCATCAGCTGAGTTCAAGGCACCTGCTCCAGTTCCCTCCATGCAGGCTCCTCTGGAGGTCTGTAACATATCCCCAGGATCAGGAGTTCCTGAGATGTGCAGTCTGCACTGCCCCAATCTACAATCTAAAACAGCTTCGCAGGTGCCCTTGGCCACCGTGTAAGGGATTAGCACGCCTGCCTGCTGGAGTGTGTCACAACACAAGCTGGTCATGCAAAGATTCTTAGTTTGGATAAAGGGTTCACCCCAGGTGCTGGTTCTACTTCTGCAAATCCAACTGCACAGTGCAAGGGAGCAGGATGCCTTGCTGGAAGACCTGGGTGTTGCCTGGGTCTCATAGATGGACACCTGTACCAATGCCGACATCACAAGGAGCCCCTGCTGTTAGCTGGTGCTAGTGATGTGGCCAGTAGATCCAGTGACCGTAAGATAAATTATTAAAGATTATATCCTCATCCGACTCGTACCAGGTCATGGCAGAGGATGGTGTTGATCTGAACTTGTGACTCAGGTTTAGTCAAGGACATGACCTTTTTCCGGTCCTAGGATTGGAAGAGCCTGGGAGATCTGGTGCAGGATGAGAGAGACCAGCTCTGTGGTACCCACTCTGTTTCTGTTGAACCTGTTAAAACGCAGGTTCGCGTTTTGAGGCACAGGATCTCGGCATGGGCTCCAAGGCCAGCAGGGAAGGATCCAGCCACAGGGAACAACATTACACCAGTCAGGTTCATGATCAATAGAAGGGCCTGACTCAGGTCCAGGGTGCACTTGAGGAAGCTGGGCAGAGCTTTGCCATCAATCGAGGTGTTTTTGAGAAAGATCAGTGTTTTTTGAGGCCGATCCATGAGGACGTTGTTCAAGTGTTTAAATATTTAAGACAGAATGGGTGATTTCAAAGAAGGCAGACAGTAGTTCCTGTCTGATGAAGATAATGGGGTCTGGAGCATTCACCCCTCATTTTCAAGAGGGAGTGCATTTTCCCTCCACTTCCAGGAAAGTCAAGTCCGAACAGCACACATACACCAGGCTTGCAAAATCCGCCCCAATTTTCCAAGGACAGTTTCTCCTGGTGCACCCAAGGAGACCCTCCCCAGAGGGGGTCCCTGTCCATGGGGCAGGTGGGGGGACATCCACGGAAAGCCACATGAACCTTCGCCAACTTGACCCTTTACCCGGAACCAAGAAGTCATTGGAGGTGTCACAGAGCAAAAGGCCTGACATGAGTGAGTCTCCCAGCAGGGACGCCCAGCATTGTATCCACAGCAGGTCAGGCAGTCTGGTTCCTAACCCACCAGATCTCTCTTCACTCCTGTAGTCCTGGCCAAAAGTGCTGTCTGCCGCAACCTGCTCAGAACCCTTCTCCGCCCCATCTTTGCTTTATCCACAGCCTGTTCATCCCATGCTCTGGTTCCAGAGGCTTCTGCCCAATTAGACACATAGACCCTCCTGTCCTTTGTCCTTCATTTTTGAAAGGTAGAGAGACAGAGACAGATGAAGAGATCCGCTCTCCACGAGCTCACTACGCTCCCCCTCCCCCAATGCTAGCACCTGCTGGGATGTGGCCACGCAAAAACAAGAGCCAGGAACTCCATCCGGGTCTGCCCAGTGGGTGACAGGGACCCAAAGACTTTGAGTCACCCCCTTGCTGCCTGCTTAGGTGTGCAGTAACAGAAGGCTGGACTTGGAAGCAGGGCAAGGCCTTGAACTCTGGCACCGTGGTGTGGGACATGGTTATCCCAAGTTGCAGCGGCTGTCCTTTGTGGTTTTGAGTGGAACAGGGACCCTACACTACACAGACCCATGGTTTCCTAGAACTACCTGTGCATCTCAGGGAAACTTCCTCTCCTTGCCTCTCAAACAGTAGAAATTTTAAGTTAAAAAAAAAAATTGAGATAATCCACCAGTGAATGGCAAAGACTGTCCCCATTCCCTATCTGTGTTTTTGTGGCAATGCCACTGACAAGTTCTGAAAGGCCATCCGGAAGAGCCCAGATCCTTGGAGCCCAGCCCTGCTGGCCTTGGAAGTCCCGCCTGCAGGTGGAGGATTCCAGCTTTCCAGTTGACTTGGAGGCAAAATCCAATCTTGACCACCTGCTGGCCTTGGAAGAACCCCGATTTTTTTCTCTGAAGACTGATGGTCTCTTGGGGGTGCTGAGAAGTGCTGGCTTGTGGGAAGCGGCAATGGGGTCAACATGGGCTCATGCCCAGACACAGGTCTCCTTTCTAGTTCAGTCTGTGAGCCCTACGTTTATCATCATTAGCGATGTCACCTTTCTACCTTCTGAAACATTTAGGGCTAAAACTATGAACTAAATAACTGCCAAAATTCACCAGGTTAGACAAAGTGAATCAGGACATATCTTTGAAAGTTTATGGGCAAAAGCTTCAGTGTGGCCTGCAAGCGGAGTTTAGGGCAAGGATCTGCTTTCCAGAAGATTCCAGGTCTCTCCAGCTGAAGACCTCACCCATCCACCGCAAGGGTTTCCTAGACACTAGGTTGGATGTTTGAGCATCTGTGAACATTCCAGAATCCTTGAACAATCCAGAATCGTTAAGACATCAGGATGGAGATGGCCTGCAGGCACCTGCCAAGCCAGGTCTGTCATTTGATAGTTAGAGAATGTGAGGTCAGGAGACAGGGATGATAAACAGAAGCCAACCAGCTGTTGGCAGGGCTGCTAATTCCCTGTCTGCCCCCAGTGCAGGTGGCTGGGCCAGGTGCACTCAGCTAGAGTTTTGAAGAAAAGGAGCTGGGTGAAATTGCAGGTTCATTTAGAGAGCAAATGATGAGCTTCGAACCTTCCCAACCTGTAACCACCCACATGGCAACTGGAGTCCTATGACCCTGGAGGCCTGCACTTTTTCCCACTCCTAAGCAGGACTCATTTGATGATCTCCAAGCTGCAAAAAAAAAAAGCCTCCTCCTGCTGCTGGCATGAGGGAATCGTCTGGGCTGTGTCCACTCCACACCCAGAGAGTGCCCAGGCTCTGCCTCTTACCCCGTGCAGGTGAGGGAGCAAGGCCTATGAAGGGAATGTCCAGGAGTGACTCTATGTTTCCGTTCCCCAGAGGTGGCAGTGTGACAACATCAAGGCCGCCAAGGCCTGGGCCCGGATCCAGGAACAACTCTTTGGGGAGCTGGGCTTGTGGGGTCAGGCGACAGAAAGCCTCGCCTGCTCCCGCTGGGAACTGGACTGGAGAGAAGGACCAGCTCGTATGAGGAAGCGCATCAGAAGCTTGTCTCCGTGGGAGGGTCCAAGTCTTGGAAGACAGCAGGTAGGAGCCGGAGGCATGAATAGCAATGGTGTGAGGTGGAACTGCATGGGAATGTGACTTCGGAGCTTCCCCATTATGGCCTTCCTCAAGTGTGTGTGCAGCTAAATGCAGGAGGATCCCATTATTTATTTCTGATGCCAATCAGCAGAAGGAGTTGCTAACCTTTCCAGGAACATCACAGAAGGGCTCTGGTTAACTGTAACCTGAATGTGTGGCTAGACATACAAGTGAATGAAAGGTTGTACAGTTTATGTAAACACTGCTGCCCTGCAATCCACAAAAGCCCCAGCGAGTGGTGTAACCTGGGAGGGTGGGAGGCAGTGTTTGAAAAGAGCCAGATGACAAGCCCTGTCGGTTTGTGCCAAGTTCTCACACTGCCACTGGCCTTCTTGCATGGGCAAATGCCGTGGCACCCAGCTACTCCTGCCGGCTCAAAGCCAGGAACTCAGTCTAGACAACATGCCAGCTGTCTTGGCTGCCAGACCGTGTGACAGTGTCCTGTAATGAGGCTTGAACGATGTCATCAAACTCACTTCTTTTGTTTTGGGTTCATTTAGTTGTGGGTCTAGATTCAAAATATATTGGAAGGAAGAATGTTGGGCACTCACGGCTGCATTCATCCCACTTGCAACCGCTTCTAAAGCCTAATGAAAAAATGACATTTGGTTTGTTCAGTAGACCCTTGCATGTTTTCCACATTGGCAGTAAACATGACAGGCATACAGTATTGGAGGAGGGAAAGCAGATAGCCGCTCGCTGTGCCGGAGACACAGCCAAACCCGCGCTCTGCTCTCCCAGGCTGTCTAGCTCCTGAACTTTTGCCCATGGCCCGTGCAGGTGGCCCCCAGACAGATGTGCGATTGACTCTAATCCCATCTTGGCGGCATCTGTGGTAATTACCGTCAGTCCTCCTTAATGGAAGCTTGTGGGTTTTCTCCCCTTTGACTCGGGAACATTCGTACTTGCATTTTCTTGTACTCCTATAGGAGCTAGCCTTCCCTTCCCTTGCACCGGGGTCTTGGGTGGTCTGAGGAGTTGCACGTGCACCTGTCAAGTTTGTGAACCTGCAGGACTGGGGGTGTGGACATGCGTGTCACATCTGGGATTTAATGTCTCTTTTCTCTGATCGTCTTTCAGGGGAGCCTTATGAAAAAGGACAGCATTTCTCAAACGCACGCTGGAAACCACGGTATTTAGTGGATCTATTTTCCCTTTAATAATTAAGCCAATGATTCATTGTGATTCTTGTGGCATTAAGTGTATTAAACTCAGGCTTTGGAAGAGTCAGATGCTGCAAGGCTAAAGCAGACAGAGTGAGTCCCCCCCCGTTACTGGGCTCCCAAGAGTGCAGGGTGGCCTCTTCCAGACCCAGATTCCGGTGCGGGGAGAGTTTTGCACCCAGATAGGGGCAATCGGAGTTCTTTCTTTGTCAATTTGCTAGCTCAGGGAGACCGTGCAAAGTACTCAACTGCATGTTACACAGTGAGTGAGTCCAGCACACAGAAGGACAATAAACTGACCTCGAATAAAAAGAGATGGAAAGGGTCTTTGGCGCCTTTTACACAGAGCTCCCCGCTTTCTGAAAAGGACAGAACTGTCATCACTTTCATCTTCCAGATTTAAGGGAAATGGTGAGGGGCTCATATTTGGTACCAGTGCTTCCTGTTTGTTTGAGCTAATTTTTGAAAACAAAAAAAAAAATTCAAGGGTTATTTTCAAAGGACATTGTGGCATGAATATATCCCAATTCATGCATACACACACACACACACACACACACACACACACACACAATCTTCCAAACTGTGTGTGTTCCCCAAAGACTCCGACTTCCAGTTGGAGCCCATCCTACTCCAAGAGTTCTGTTGTCCCTCAGTTGCAGCCAGAGCTGTCTCCCCTGCGTGACCACATCAGTCCCTCGGCACAAGCGGTGGGCGCTCTGGCTAAGTGACCCCTGTGTCCACTTCAGTTCTGGAGCCTTGCAGTTCCTCTCAGTGAGTGAGGGACAGGCATGGCCTTGCTCGTGATGTCCAGCGGCTCAGGTCAAGCCCTGTGTCCCTCTGTTGCCACCACAGATGAACTGACCCCACAGGAGCCTGAGAGCGAGCCACATGAGGAAGCCGTGGACTGCACCCAGCTGACCTTCTTCCCCGCCTTACACGAGAGCCTGCATTCGGAAGACTTCCTGGAGCTGTGTCGGGAAAGACAAGTTATCTTGCAAGAGCTTGCTGCTGGAGAAAAGGTACTGCAAACCGTGGTGGCTGCTCTGTGAGGCATCAGACGGGAGAGCCAAGCTCCTTCCCCCACACGCTATAGGAATCGGCAAAAGGAACTGACCCCTCCAGTCGCAGGCACAGGGAGAAGGGGGTGCAAATGCAAACAGCCAGGAGGAGGAGGAGGGGGCGAGGTGGGGCTGGCAGCATTGCAGGGACTTCACACACCTGGCAGCTCTGCAGGCTGGTCTGGCCCAGGTGGGTGAGAGTGAGTCTCAACTGCACTGTCAGTCAACTGAGACCTACTGGTGAGCAGTGGGCACTTCCGAGAGCCTGGGCTGGGTGTGCACAGGGCTAAGAGGGAAACCTGACTTCAAGGCCAACCTGGGTGTTCCTGCTACCGACTGCGTCAGACTCAGTGCTGTGTCCAGTGGCTACAGGCACAGCCTGAGCAGCTCTGGGCCCTGGCCCGTTGTAGCCTGCAGTTGCCCTTGACACTTGTCCTGGGTCCAGCCAAGGTCCACTGGGGAGAACTCCCCTAATCCTGAGACAGCATGGAACATGGAGGAGGCTGCTCTTCCCTCTGGTGACTTTTACTTAAGCTTTAGCCTGTCCCAGCCTCTGTCCCCACGCAGCAGGGAGCTGTCAGAAATGCAACACAACAGCAGGGTTCCCCAGCCCCTGAAAGCAGCAGTGTGTGAGGCCCAGCAGGAGGTGATGAGGCAGGATGGAGCAGGAGCTGTCCTGACTCTGCTTAGTGCCTGGCATCTTGAACCTGCCAGGAGGGAGCCACTCTCTCCCTGGAACCTCAAGGGATTGGGCTAGTGAAAAGGCAAAGTGTGTTTTTGCAGCACAGGTTGGGTTGTGAAAAGGGCCAAGGCTTGCTGAACCAGTTTCAGCAGACAGGTCTGCCTCCTGGACAAGCAGATCAGGTGCCCCAGGGAGGGACCTTGGGCAGAACCAGGTACTGCCCTGGCTCCTTGCTAGCGCTGCCTGCACCACATACACAGACCAGTCGCTCAGGGGAAATCACACAACCATTCCTGGGCCCTGTAAAGGTCTAACTCCTCTCCTTGCCAGATTAGATGCTCCTGCTCTGATGGCCTTTGAGAGACACACAGCCCAGGAGACCACAAGACATAATTTCCTTCCAGGTCTCAGGGTGGTCTGTCTCTGGTGAAGGCCTGTGGAGCTACCGGTATCTCCCGCTCACTTACGTGTGTATACACACACACACACCACACACACACACACACACACATCCCTAGGGAGGCAGAAGCTGGCAGTGCTGGAGCACCAGCGAAAGCATCACTTAATCCACTGATTTCCGGAAAGCACAGGCTGTGATTGCCTCAGGCGCTACCTGGGATGGTAATTATTCAATCACTCTGCACCGTGTGTGTGTGTGTGTGTGTGTGTGTGTGTGTGTGTGTGTGTGTGTGTGTGTGTGTGTGTGTGTGTGTGTGTGTGTGTGTGACTGCTGAGTGACTGCCAGAACTCAGCGCATTTCTCCACATGCAATTCAGTGTGACACGAGGAGAGCTTGGTACCATGCAGGCTCATTGCTGGCCCGTGTCAGTCTCTGAGTGGCTAGGGACAGTCTGTAGGAACCTTCTGTGTAGCTTCCAGATCCAGACCAGGGAGTAATGTGATGGAGCCTTTTTATTTATTTATTTATTTATTTATTTATTTATTTTGCTGTTATTCCTTTAGATGACATGAAAACTCAGGTGTCTGATTTTTCTTCCCTCTTACACACTTATCTTGAGATGTAAGTTTGACCCTGGAAGAAATGACTGGCTAGGAGGGAACAGATCCCACTGTGGACGGCAGAGAGCTGTGTCTCCCCCACCAGTTTTTTCCTGGACATTTTCACTGAGGCTGTTTGCACCAAAAACAAAGGCAGGCAGGGAGAGCAGCCTGTCTGAGCCGTAACCTCTTTTCTGGAGGACTCACCACCGCACTGTGACACACAGACCTGCAAGTGTCATTTCTGCCCAAGACCATCTGGACCTTCCTTGAGTGCACACTCAGCCAGTGCGTCAGTGGAGTTCACTTCCATGCGTTCAAACCGCAGCCAGGCAAAAATGTTTGAAACAGAGGTGCACCTGCACTGAACATGTTCAGACTTTCATTCCCATCATTCCCTTCATGAGATCCTAAATATTACAGTGCAACGGCTGTGGTCACCATGGTTTTTTTTTTTAAGATTTATTTTATTTTTATTGGAAAGGCGGATATACAGAGAGGAGAGACAGAGAGGAAGGTCTTCCGTCCGATGATTCACTCCCCAAGTGAGCGCAACGGCCGATGCTATGCTGATCCGAAGCCAGGAGCCTCTTCCGGATATCCCACGCAGGTGCAGGGTCCCAAGGCTTTGGGCTGTCCTCGACTGCTTTCCCAGGCTACAGGCAGGGAGCTGGATGGGAAGTGGAGCTGCCGGGATTAGAACCGGCGCCCATATGAGATCCCGGGCGTGCAAGGTGAGGACCTTAACCACTTGCGCCATCACGCCGGGCCCAGTTACCATGTTTAAATGTGTTGAGGATGGCAAGTGACGTGGGGACAGTCCGACATATATGGGAGGATGTAATTGCCTTGCAGACTTACTTTGTCACATCAAGGAATTAAGTATCCTTGCCTTGTGCTGTTGTCCGGACTCCTGGCACCAATCCCACAAGGACACCTGGGGGTGAATGCCCTGTGTACATGAGGACATTCCTGAGCAGGCCTTGAAACTTCTCTGGGCTGGCCTCCCTTCCCTGGGACATGCACACACAAGCACACCCACACATGCACACACGCGCAATACACACCACGTACCCCTGAGTCTGATTCTGACCTCCAGCACTCTATAATCTCCAAGTGATTCAAGACTCGCCTTGGCATGTCCATGTTGTGCTCAACACTGGGCTCTCCCCTCTTTTTGGTAATTTTCTTAGATAGGTATTTTCCAAAGTTTATTTATTTGACAGGCAGACATAAAGCAAGAGCAAGGGGGTTCCCATACTTTGGTTGACAGGGCCCACAGTGGTCAGGACTGGACCAAACAAAAGCCAGAGACTTAGTTCAGGCACCCCATAGGGATGCAGCTACATTTGCCATCACAGCTGCCTCCTGGGATCTGCCCTTGCAGGAAGCTGGGGTCAGGGGCCCGAGATGGGTGGTGGACCCAGGCACGCCCATGTATGATGCAGGCATCTTCAACAGTGTGTCAGTCACTGGTACAGACAGCCACCTCTGTTCCCAGCCTCAGCATCAACTCTTCTCTTTGCCACCCCTCCATCCAGTGTGGTACCCCACCTGTGCTGCCTGAACCCCTGGACCTCTGCCTTGTATGTTGTGCTGGGAGAGTGGTATCTCTCTTTCTTCTCCCAGTTAGGCAATGAACAGTTAGGAATGTCTTATTTCCATCTTTACTGATGGCTTGTGGGACACATGATACATATTGGATGTAAATGAATGAATGAACAGGTGCGTATAGCAATGTGCTTCCATCACCTGGAACCTTATTTTCTCAGCTAAAGGCCCCATGTCAGTTTCTGTGTCTGGGCCTTGGCTGAGCTGCATCAGAATTTCCTGAGCTGCTCCCCAAAATGCAGATTCCAGGGCCCCCTCTGAGCGTGTTGGATCAAAACAGCTGAGGGAACATGATTTTTTTTTTTCCAAACTACCCAGATGATCCTCATATATGCTGTGTCTTGAGTAATTGTCCGAGACCCTCAGGTCCAAGTTTCTGAGTATTTCCAACTGGCTGGAAAGGTGCTCCAATCTCCATCAGATTGTGAGTGAACACACCTCACGGCAGGCACTGTGAGCTAGCTGAACCGTCTTCAGAAAAGGCACCACGTCTGGTCTTCAGTTGGTGCAGCTGAGCAAGGGCAGAGACATGACCGTTTGCAATGAACGCCCTGTCTGTATGTGCGCAGACAGGCGGCAGGGGGCGTCCCTGCTCCTTGTCTCAACCCGTGAGGCTGCAGCTGGGGAAAGAAACCGTGCATTCCACTCCGTGCACTTTTGCCAAACGTGGATGAGAACATGGCATTGTTCTGGTAGCTGTTCCCTTTGATGACGCTAAGTGATTGCCCTACCTAACACATGGCCAACGTAGAAGACATAGAGACCAGGGTTCATGTGTAGCCAACATAGATGCGGTTTTTATCACTCCTCTGTTTCTGAATACTTAACTTTCAGCACATTAGAATTGATTGGAAAGATTTTTTAAAACGCACAGAAAAAAAAGTGCAGAATTTTTTTTGGCGGGGGGGGTCATGATTTCCTAGCCAATACAGCATACATATATTTATATGGCCTTTGCATTGTTTTCATGCGTTCTAAGTAATCTAGAGAAAATTTACACTTGATCTTAGCCCAGAGGCTGAAAAAGCGGTCAGGGATCATTTAAAGTATGAGAGGATGTGTGTAGTTTAGAACGGAAGTTCTATTCCAGTGGACAGTAAGGACTTGGGCACCCACGGATTCTGGGCATCCTTGGGGTGGGGAGGGGCATCCTAGAACCAATCCCACATGGATACCGAGGGAAGACTGTCCTTATTCCACAGGCCGAGAGCAAGAGAAGGGATTGAGACCACAGGCGAGCAGGAGAGTGCAAAGGGGGCAGACAGTGAGTGTGGGCACAGCTAGGAGTGTGAGCACCAGCTAGGCAAACTCATCACGCACAATCGTGACCAAGTACACGCATGAGCAGTTCTGCAGCAGCGTCCGCTCATCCCCAGTTTTGCCTCTAACCCACGTGTTCCAGAACACCTGTTGGCAATGGAATCAAACGATAAGTTTATCTTAAAAACAATAGCAACAACATTAGGACCCATGCAGTTTTCCACAATATACTTTCCGTAAGCTATCATAGAAATCAGGAGTAGCACTCAGCTGCAGACTAGCTGTGCTAAAGAGGACCCCCGATAGCGTGTTCTTGACCTTCTCCCCAGGTGCCCCCTGGGGCCGGGCTTCAGGAAAATGTCCCAGCAAATCATTGCCCCACCAGCTTTAGCTCCAGAGACTTTGGGAGTTTCCAGTCTGTTGGTCATCACGCACAGGGTAAGATGTGGCCCTCTGCTGTTACCCACCTACCAGGAGCCACGATCTCTTGTCTCTTGTCTCTTATTTTTTTAAAAAAAATTCTACTCGAGAAGCACAAAATTTTCCCCCTCCTGGAAAAGCGATCGGTCGGCTCGTGGCCCCAGAGCTGTCTCCATGGTGAGCTCACTGAGGCAGAGGCCCTCTGGGCGTGCCTTTAAATGGAAGAGCAGGTAATAGCTTCTTTCTCCAGTTTTTAAAACACCGTTTCTTTCCCAGCAGAATCAGTGCTCCAGCTATCAACTCCAGCTCTTGGCAGATGTTTTTCTTGTGGCTGGCTTGATTCTGGTTCTCATCTGAGAACCCTTGAAGGTCAACAAGCCACTGGATCAAGAGTGTGAGCTCTGAGACCCACCGTGGGTTGGGATGGGGACCTGGTGTTGGAGGGTGGGATTGAGGAAGAGGCTTCAGAGCCCGTGGGGTGGGGCTAGTCAGCAGCTGCACATCTCACCATGAACTTGACGGTGCAGTTTTCTCTGTACAAAGGTACAGTCGGAGACAAATTTAAATGGTCTGACATATCCCTCTGACAGCGGATGGGGGTGTAAATGGGAGCCACCTGTAGAGGGCAGTGTGTGGCCAGAGTGATCAGCAACTACAACATGCACACCTTTGGTTGGAATGTTTCCTGCAGTGTTCTGGATGCCGTATGTGCAGGGCTGGTTACTGCGGCGTGGAGTGTAATGACCAAGCATGTGAAACACCCCCAGAGTCAAGAGCAGGCTGGGCAGGTAGACCGTACATCTAGGCCGAAATCTACAACTATCAGAGAGTCATTCTAGGAGCAGTTCCCACCACTCTCCATCTTCTTGCTTGCATCCACCTGCTTCTCTCCCTCCCCACACTGGCCACCCCATCCAAGACCACCACCCTTTCACAGACCTCTATAGCATGACACCCTCCTTCCCTCATTTTGACTCTTTGCCATCTATTCGAGTAGCAGTCAGCATTGTATTTCAGAAGTGAGCCTCTCTGTGGTTTTTATTGTAGCCAAGGGGACGGGTGGAGGGGAGCCAGTGATCTCCCTGAGGTATCTCATGTCCCCCGTGCTCAGGGCACTCTTGCCTTCCAGCTTCTGCTTGGCTGTAAGGCCTCTATTCTGCTTCTGATCCTTGGCTTGGAACCTAACCTTGCCTTCCCCTCAACTATCTTCTTCAGACTTTCCCTTGGGAGACTCATCTCTGTCCCTCAAGTCTCAGGTTCCGTGAAAGTGTCTGTCCTTTCCAAGGTTCTGTGCCTTGTCAGCGTCCCCTGCTTTTTCCCTCTTTGCGTATAATGCCTTGGTTTGTGCATTGATATGTATGTTTGTTATCCATATCTTCCCATTGGATTTTAAGCCTTGTGGGGGTAGGGTACTTGTTTATCTTGTCCACCTTGTACCCCCAAAGCCTTGCCCTGAGCCTGGCATAGAATCCATCTCCATTTGAACGAATGGCTGAGAGCAGTCCACAATGGACTCAATGGCTCAGAAATTGGCTAGTGTAAAATAGGGGTTCCTGTGGCAGCCTCAGAGACGAGTGCTGAGGCTCTAGGCTGGTTCTTCCTTTCTAGACTATGGCTCAGCCCTGGTTTATGTTGGCTTGAGTCTATGTTGGTACAAGACTTTCAGCAAATGTCAGGTGTTCAAGTGTCACCACATTTGTTCCCATAGGTGAGCAGGGGAACTCAACTTGAATCTCAGGCTAAATATCCTCATCCCTTTTGAGTTACTGAAGCAAAAAAAAAAAAAAAAAAAAAATCCCTGGCACTGGACAACACATAAAGAAAAGAGGTTGAGTTATCTAGCTCACAATGTGGGTAAAGTCTTAGCAACTTGAAGCAGAATCTGGCTTATGGCAGGGGCCTGCAGCGGATCAGTCCCATGGTGTGCATGTGGTGCGTGTGTGTGTGTGTATGTGTGTGTGTGTAATAGAGAAAGAGAGAGAGAATCATGTGACAAGATGCAAGTGGGCGAGCCAACAAAACTATCCTTGTGTTGTTACAATCCATGCTGTGATCCCTGAGCCAGTCCTGCAGGAAGGGAACCCACTCCTTTTTAAAAAAGCATTTCACCATCTGAAGTGCTTGACCATCTCTCCTGAGCCCCATCTCCCACCACCACCTACCTGCCATTACATGGGAGAGCTAAGCCTCACCGAAAGTTCTGGAGAAGATAAGCCACATTCGAGCTGTTGCTCTAGGTGTTGGTCTCTGCTTCAATTCTTATTTCCTGGAATCTCTCATTTTTTCTTCCAGAAGTATTAGTTCTGCCTGGTATAACTGGAATGAGCACAGAATTACTCTGAGGCAAAGCCAGCCTTGTCCTTATTCTTGGTATCTTCACATTCCCTAACCATCAATTCTGTGTAAGGATCACCTGGTCCTTATATAACATACAGAGCTCTGGACCACACTGAAGTGGCCCAGCTTCCCAGAAAGCCAGCTGTGAGGCAGGGATGCACACGTGAGGAGTTTGTGGGCATGGGGGTCTTAGAGATAGGTAGCTGGAAGGGTGCATCTCTAAAGATGTCTTGACAATAGCCTCAGTGGACTTCCAGGCATCTAGGCCTGGAAGGTTCTTCAGAGCTACCTTGCTCTGAGATAAGGGCCTAAGCCTTATTTCCATATTGACTGTACTTGGTTTCCAGCTGCTACCGAGACAGGCATATAGCTTGGGCCGATTATTCTCTTCAGCACAGAAAACAGCTGGAGAAGGCACATTTCAGTCCAAGTGGGCAATATTGGAGCCTCCCCTGCTCACGCTTGCCCTGCACTTGTTGTGTTGGACAGGTCTGGCTACAAGTCCTGGCTTAGCCACTCGCCAGCTGGTGCTGGACAAACTCCTTCTCTGTCCCTGAGGTTCTGAGTGAATACTGCTCATTGTTCACTGTAGGGTGGCCTCTCTGTAGGGTGGAACTCTGCTTATGGTGGGAGTAACTTCATAGACTGAATACAGCACCCCCTAGCACCCTCCTGGCTTGGTGCAGTCAGTGGTGGCCTGCAGTAGACTGAGTAACTCATAGAATCCTGGGTACAGAAATGCCACATCAGCTGGAAAGAATGGCCCAGCTCAGGAGCAAGCAGCACTGGCACTGTCACAGGGCATTGTCTTCACCTCCATGGGCCCGGTAGGTGGCCTATCCCTGCCTCCCTATCTTCGGTGAGAACCAAGGGCACACTTCCTGGTGCACACAGCCTGACTCTGGCACTCTCCCCTTGCAGGTGAGCCAGAAGTTCTCCCTGGTGATCGTGCAGGGCCACCTGGTCTCCGAAGGAGTCTTGCTCTTTGGCCACCAGCACTTCTACATCTGCGAGAACTTCACCCTGTCTCCCACGGGCGATGTCTACTGCACCCGCCACTGCCTATCCAAGTGAGTGCTCTGCTGCTCCCAGTAGACTCTTCCTGAACCCTGGTTCCCCTCGCAGGCAAACCCTATGTGTCCCTCCCCTGCACCAGGTCCTTCCTCAAGGGTTGGGGGTACAACAGAACCAAGAGCTGAAGCAGAAAAACCTGCCCTCACAGGCCACCCGTGAATGTGACTCCCAAAGGTGATGTCAGGAGTGGCTGGCAGTGGAGAACTGGCCCTGTTTGTTTCCTTGGACCATTGGAACAGTACAGTTCAGTGCCATCAGCTTACCCCTCTGAACTCCCTGCACTTTGTGAGGCCAAGCGAGTGCAGTTGGCAGCCTGAGAGGGTTTTTGCACAAAGAGTTTCCAGCAAGATCTAGACCGTATGAGAATTCTTAGGCATCCACCGGCGGTGAGATGACCTAGTAGAATTGCTTGCATTGGGGGCTGCAGGAACTACCCGAGGAAGCAGGAAAAGGCAGGGTCTCCAAAGATAGGTAAAATTTAGATCAACATTTTCAATACCAGAGGTCTTTGGCAGTAAGCTCCAGGGTTCTTGTTTAGGATCAAGTGCGTGTGATCTCTTTGAGCTCTAGCCACTGTCACGGATCAGTGCCCTTGCGTTTATAACTGGCCGACCATGTTTGTACTGTGGCCTGAAGTTCAGTTGTGAAGCTGTGTGTTTTCATTCCGTTGTTGGCTCTTGAAGACTTTCAGACACGCTTGTCTTTAGGAAGAAGCAGGCTTGCCTTGTCTGGTAAGCCCCAAGGTTCCCAATACAATAAGAGAAATGAGCTGGGCCCGGCATTGTGGCCTAGCAGCTAAAGTCCTCACCTTGAACGCACCGGGATCCATATGGGCACTGGTTCTAATCCCAGCAGCTCCACTTCCCATCCAGCTCCCTGTTTGTGGCCTGGGAAAGCAGTCGAGGATGGCCCAAAACCTTGGGACCCTACACCCGTGTGGGATACCTGGAAGAAGTTCCTGGATCCTGGCTTCGGATCAGCATAGCATCGGCCATTGCGCTCACTTGGGGAGTGAATCATCGGATGGAAGATCTTCCTCTCTGTCTCCCCTCCTGTCTGTATATCTGACTTTCCAATAAAGCTTGTAGGAACATAAAACCCTGGGCCCTGCTACCATTGGGGTTTTAGTTCCGTGGGTCTGTGTAGTACCTGATAGTTTTCAGAATTTATTTATTTAGTTAATTGGATTTGATTCTAAAGGTGAAAAAACACTAGAGACAGACAGCCAAGATTGGAAGACAACGCCTCTCTACTGGTTCATTCCCCACAAATACCCACAGCAACCAGGGCTGGCCAAGGCCGAAGCTGAAAACCAGGAGTTCAATCCAAGTCCCCTATGTGAGTGACAGGGACCCCAATACGTAAGCTGCTCCCTGCTGCCTCCTAGGCACTCCTAAGCAAGAAGCTGAAACGGAGAGCAGAACTCTGACCTAAACTCAGACCCTCTGATGCGTGTGTCCCAAAGATCAGCTTAACCATCGCACCAGACACCTGCCCCAAGTGCCTAAGATTTAAAAAAAAATATTCTGTTTTATTTACTTATTTATTTACTTACTCACTTATTTGAATGACAGAGTTACAAAGTAGGGAAGAAAGAGCTAGAGAAGGAGGGCAGGGGAGAAAAGGGGGAAGGAAGAAAAAGAGAATCTGTTGGTTTACTCTCCCAATGGCCTCAATGTCTATGGCTAAACTAAGCTGAAACTAAGAACCGGGCTTCATTCAGGGACCCAAGCACTTGGGTCATCTGTTGCTTTTTTTTCTTTTTAAAGACTGATATATTTTCATTGGAAAGGCATATTCATGGAAAGAAGGAGAGACAGAGATTTTCCATGTGCTAGTTTACTCCCCAAGTGGCCACAATGGTCTGAACCAATCCAAAGCCAAGAGCCAGGAGCTTCTTCTGGATCTCCTATGTGGGTACAGGGTCCCAAGGCTTTGGGCCATCCTCCTCTCTTTCCCAAGCCACAAGCAAGAAGCTGGATTGGAAATGGAACAGTCAGGACATGAACCAGTGCACATATAGGATCCCAGTGCTTGAAGGTGCAGGATTAGCCAATTGAGCCATCATGCTGGGCCCATCCTTCTGTCTATTAGATGCATTTTCAGGAAACTGGATCAAAAGTGGAACAACTGGGACTGGAATGGGCACTCATATTGCTACACATAAGCTGCAGCTTAACCCATTGCACCACCACACTGTCCCTCCTCCCCACCGCAAGTGCCTGAGATTTTAGTAAGTTCCAAGTTCATGCTGATTCTGCTACTGGTATGGGACCACACTTCAAAAGCCACCGTTTTAAACTATTAACAAGGAATCCATGTCTTCCCTGGTGATAAATGAGAACTCTATCTCCCAGCTGTCCTAGCATTCCCAGCTTAGGTCAGAATGCAAGGATTGAAGGAATGTACAAGAGGAGATCTCAGTCCATCCTCCTGTGATGTAAATTCGCTTTAGAACGCTGGCATTTTTCTCTCCACTAATTTCCATCTTTTATTCATACTGCATGTTCACCGATCGCTGCGAGTCCTCTCCCTTTCCCAGGCAGAAGGAGCATAATTAATACTTGGCACACGCATCCCATCTTATTGCTCATGTTTTATTGATACCGATCGATATCGACGATGGGTCCACAGACTCGCCTTCCTGGGAGCGGATGAAAGCTTTCCACTCTATCTATACACATGATGTGCCCACGTGATGGCCGGCATCCTCCACTGCTTCACTCTACACCTCCAGCTTAGCTTCAGAGGGCTAGATAGCATCTTATTGATTGGGCAAATTGTATTTACGAGGTACAGCCAATCATGACCACATTGACTGTATTGGTATTTTGAGTGGAAGTCCAGTGGTGGGATTGTGTGCAAATTTTGGATTCAGAGTGACAACAGAGGCTTCCAAGGTCTGGGAGTGGGCTCTTTTGAAATTCAAGTTGAAGTAGAGTGAGAATGAGTTACCCACTTGGGAATCGCATGGATACTTTTAGTCATGATACCTCCGAGGAGTATTGGTTAGACAGTGCTTTCTCTCGCGGGGGAGAAGGGGGCTCGCGTATCACACCAAGACACTGGCACACCCCAGGATGCAGTTCTCCAGGCAGGCTCTTAGATCATGACGGATCAATGGGGACTAGGTCTTATTTTGACCATGGAGACTGAGGAAGACACATAAATAAGTCTGTTAAAAATAAAGTGAAGTCAACCCTGAAATGTTGCGCTAAAAGACTGCCATCAAATTGAGTACAGTTGAGCATTAGACCTTGAAAGAAGCTCCCTGATGTGCCATAAAAAAAATTCCAGATAAAACCAAAGAACACTGCCAATCCCCTTTCAGTGGACGTGTGTCCTTGGGAACTTCCCTCGGAAACAAGGTAGCCTTCTGAGGTTGGCTTGTGAGCTTCCTGGGGGGACTCCTGGAAAATGGGGTGGAGGCTCTATTCATTTCCTGACAGCTATCCCAATCTGGGTGGCTTCAACAAACCCTGAAACATACTGCTTTGCAATCCTGGATGCCAGAAACATGACAAGAGGGGAGGGACACACCTCTCCTGGATGTCCCAGGGCAGGCTTATCCCTCACCTCTTCCAGTCTCTGGTGTTTGTGGAGTGCCTGGTGATCCTCGCCTTGGAATTAGCACGTGGTACTCCCGCCATGTGGCGAACTCTTCCTGTGCTCCTATCTCTCTGTCCAGCCCCTCCTTTCATATATGAAAGCCCCATCATGCTGGATTTGGGGCTCCCCTGGTGACTTCATCTTGGCCTGAACCCTATTTCTAAAGGCAGTCATGTTCTGGGGTGGCATCAGTCCCAGCATCAGCATCTCCACCTGCAGGTGCCGTTCCACCCATGACACGAGGTCAAGCCTACAAGGTCCAGTGCGTAGTTCCTTTGCTGGGGACCCAAGCCATCCATCTGAGCCTCTGTCCTAAGTTATTAAAACAAGGAACTTCTTCCACATCAGTGTTACATTCAACAAACATTTATCCAAAAGTCTGTCTTGTCTCGGGCCCCAGGTTGGTCTCCATGGACACAGAACAGACAGGAAGTTTTGGGCACAATGTGGTTAATGGGTTTATTATCTAGTGAATGACTTCAGGATGACTCTGGAGCAGTTCAATTGTAGCACGAATCAAAGCAGATTTCCATCTTGAAATCCCATGGCATTAGCGGCCAGGTCGACCAAGGTCACAACTATGTTTTATTTAGCTTGCTTGCTGTGGTCTCTCCAGTCAGAACCTTCCAAGTTACTCTCTGACCGACCCTTCTGGATGATCTCCCCGTAGCCTCTCAGCTATCCTACAGCACACCTGTGAACAACATCCTCAGGACTGTGGCAACAGCCCTGCCTCAAAGACAGAGCAGATCGGGCTACCCCTTGCCACTCACTAACTCTGGCTGGTCCTGCTGAGCACCTGAGCTTGTGTTGCCCCAGACACCTGCAGCTGTGTGAGTGGGCTGCTTAACACAGCCTACATCAGGGGGCCAGTGAGCTTGTATGGTCATGTTCCCCTTGGAGGACTGGGGTCCACCTGAGGATTCCTGCTCCTCTGTGGAGATGAGTCCCACAGGCAGGAGCAAGGGGAACTTTCCTCCCAAAGGTGCAGCCACCTGTGTGTCCGAGCCCTAGGTTGCTGTATCAGTGAGCACAGATAGAAAGGAGCTAGAGAGAGGAAGGCTGGGAAAACCAGAGGGCCTTGCTGCCTTGGGGGAGAAAGAAGGTCCTGTGGCTAGACCAAGGGGCTAAGAGTCGGAAGATCGCGGTTGGGGTCTCCCGTCTGGAACGCAGCAGGAGCAGCTGTAACGATGAAGGGAACCTGATGAGGACCAACTAGAGCAGCAGACAGATAGGGAAGAGGGCTCAGCATGCCAGGAGCGTGTGGCAGTCATCCAGCCAGCAGCTCCAGAGGGCGGGAGGCAGACGCCAGTGGTGGCCTATGCCTTGGAAATCTGTAGGGCAGAGAAACAGAGGAGACACTGACTGCGGTCCCCCATACCTCCAAGCAGGGGGTGAGGTGGGGGGCAGGGAGAGGAGTAGGGATGTGTGTGTGTTGGAGCACAGAGAAGTTGCTCTCTGCTGCTCCCACCAGTCCCTTGCTTCATTGCTTGACCTGAGCCAAGGGGAAGAAATAGAATGTTCACGAAGGCCTCACAGGGCTCAGCCACCTCTGTGCCACGGCATTGGGCTGGCAATGTCTTGGGGCCCAGGTGCTGCACAGAGAGGCTCCGCGCCTAGCCCAACAACCCTGGCTGCTGCTTTTTCTGCCTGTCCCTGTGCCCTGTGCTCCTGCACAGGATCAGGCCTCCACCATTGGTCTCTCAGGAAAGGGAGGCAAGAGCCACCAGCCCCAGGCTTGGTACCTGTGGCTTACAGCCCTAACTGCTCAGCCCTCGGTACCCAGGAGCCTTCTTCCACCCCTGCACCCTGTGTCCACACTTTGCTGAAGCCTGTACTGCCATCTCGCCTTCCTTAGTGGGTGTGTGTGAACAGTCCCCAGTGCCAGAGCCAAGGGAACCAGTGTGCTCAGCCAGGGCTTATCGGAGGGTGGAGGTGGGCCCAGTAGGCAGCAGGGACCGTGGTGCTTCTTAATATGTCCCCCTAAAACTCAGACGCTGGGAAGGGGTAGCAGCCCATCTCACGTCCAAACACGTCCACCCTGTGTCCTGTCTCCTTTTCAGCATCAGCGACCCCTTCATTTTCAACATGTGCAGCAAAGACAGGTGCTCTGAGCAATACTCATGCCAGTGTCACAGCTACGGTGACCTGCGGGAGCTCCGGCTGGCGCGCTTCCTCCTGCAGGTGAGTCCCCAGTTGGGACAGATGGTCCTGGGTCCCTCCAAGACACAGCCCTGGGAGCCCTGCTTCAGCCCAGTGCCCCCCTGGCGGTGAGGTCAGGGAGGATACAAGGAACCTGCCAAGTTTCTGTTGGTCTCTGAAGGCTGCCGCACTTTCCTGTCTGGGTGGTGGGCTTCTGGACCCTTCGCCCTGTGCCTCTCTGTGTGATTTAGGATTCAGCCTTTTGGCTCTCCCCCAGAGCATTGTCAGAGGAACACGGGGCAGGCCAGCTCTGTGGTTCGTGACCTGGACTTGCCTGCCTGCCTCTGACCATGTGGTACAGGCTGGGACCCCTCCCCCGACTGTCACCTGGTCTCCTGTCTTGGCTCCAAGGCCAAGTGGCTCAGGAACCTCCTGGCTGTCCCCAATCAGGGTTCCCTGAGGCTTCCTCCCTACCCCCACCCCTACCTTGCTGCCTACAGGGCTTTCCCAGTGGTTTCTGAACTCTGCCCAGATGCTCAGCGCGCCATGCAGATAAATCAAAGAGGAGGAAGCCCTCTGTGGCACCCCGCAGACCTCAGACCCAGCTGGCCTCATCAGCTGGCCTCAGCCTGAGCTAAGCCGCATCCTGTCCCTTGGGCTGTTGGAGGAGGTGGAGGGGAGGGGCCAGGATCAATGCAGGGTCTGGATTAGGTTCCCCGGTTCCCCAAGGGGCAGTACCGGATCCGGAGAATCCCAGTAAGGGCACCCTCCATTTGAGTATTTCCTCTGCATGTGGCTTGATGCAGGGGAGAACATTCCAGAAGGCCCTGCCGACCTGGCCGCAGCCCCCCACTGCTCCTGTCCAGGTCCTTGATGAGCCCTCTTTCTCCTGCCTGTGCTTGGTTCCCACATTGCTTGACTGTGAGCACCATTACAAGGAGATTCAGCTCTATGGGGAGTGCATGGAAGACGCAGCCCACTCAGAGGTGGCTCCAGGCAGAGTGGGCTGAGCCTGGGCTGTTTTCTGCTCTTGACCTGGCCACTTCAGCTCCCTCAAGCAGCCCTCCAGTCTTTCTGGTCCCCCAGTGAACAGGAGGTCACTGCTCTTCCTTCCTCACATGTAGGGTGTATGTTGGGGTGCATGGTAGGGCTGCTGTGTTCACCTTACAGGTGAGGCGTGGTGGCTGACTGTGTGTTTCTCTGTCCCCAGTCAAGCTGGTCACTTCCAGATGTCTGGCGTGCACGATGATGGTGGCCAGAAATGGAAGTGCCCATGGGCAGGGGGGCCGAGTGGAGCAAGAGTAGCCCAAGAGGTGGGGCTACTTCTACAATGAGGCCAGTCCTGGATTCCCCCCAGGAGCTGCCTGGCCCTCATGGTCTCCAGGGCCACAGGATCTGCACCCCTTCTACATATGTTTCTGATTATAGGGGGGATGCAGGGCTCTTATACCCACCAGAAAGGCAGCGGGGGAGGGGGCGGTGTAATACTGTCCCAAACACCTTCCTTCCACCTGTCAGGGAACAGGAAGTGGTTCTTATGGAATAGAGTGCCCAGCTCCAAGTCCTACCCACATCTCCCCATCCACCTGCCCCTCCACACTCAGGCCCCAGCCCTCCCTGCCCTTCCTCCTCCAGTCCTGGACTCACTCTCCCTGCCCAGTGCCTGAGCTTTAGCCTCCATGTGGACCCCAACAACCTTCCTTCCAAGTCTGCTATTGATATAGCTTGGAATGGAAAGGAGGAAGGGGAGAGGAAAATCTGAAACTTCAAACATGAACCCATGGCCAATATCGCAACCAGGGGAGGTGAAGCATTGTCTGTAACACCAGAGTTCCCTGCAAATGCTGGTTCAAATCCTGGCTGCTCCGCTTCTGCTCCAGCTCCCTGCTAACGGGCCTGGAAAAGCAGTGCAATAAGATCCTTTTAGGCCTTCATAAAGCCCCCTAACAGCACTGCCCCGTCAGCATGGTCACACCAGATAACTGCAAGACGCTGACCAGGTCAGCAGCCACATGCCAGCTTAGGAAACCCAGTCCGTGATCCAGAAATAAAAAGCTTCTGAGGCTGTCCCTGGCACCTTCTCCCTTGATCTGCTCCTTATTCTTTCCGGGGTGTAGGGTAGGGGGTGCAGCTTGCATTTCCTGCTTTTAGCCCCAGAACTGGAGCCACAGTCAAGTCCCCTACCTATTCAGCCAAGTGTCGGCTGCCTCATCTGACCACCATTGGAGTCTTCTACCCGACCCAGGGGGTCACAGTCACCAGGCAGGGCTGCCTGCCAGATAGCCCACCCTACCCCGAGGGACACCGCCAACCCACTAAAGAAGACGTCTCTCCACAGGACATTGCCCTGGAGATCTTTTTTCAAAATGGATATTCCAAGTTTCTCGTCTTCTACAATGGTGACCGGAGTAAAGCCTTCAAAAGGTGAGGGAACGGTGACCCTCCCGAATCAGTGGTGGTGACCAAGCTCTGTTCCTCCGAAGGTGCTTCTAAGCCCACAGCAAGCAGGAACTGGGTCAGGCAAGAGGAAGGACTGCCTAGCCCAGCCCTCCCAACCCAGCGGCCAACTCCTGGGGTGCTGCACAGGCGAGTGGGACAGCAGCCTGCCCTACATCCTGGAAAACCAGACTCACCACATGGTTGAAGACAGTAATGACCGAACAGAGGGGAACCGTGCAGATGCAACATATTTAAGAAACATGTTCCATGGGCCTTCTAGAACTTTCTGGCTTGTTTTTCCAATTTTCCGAGTAGCTCTTTTTTTCCTTTTTTAGGGGTGAGGAGGAGCTTAGTCTTTCTGTTTGATTTTGGCTGCCAACTGTCATTGCTCCAGTTTCATATTTCATGGGCGAAAAACTCTGCACAGCCGTTCTCCAACTTGGGTAGAGTTCATCTTGTTTTCCTGAAACAGTGAATGTCTCTTCCCAAGTGAATTTTTACCAGTCCCAAGGCAGCATCTAAATTGTGAATATTCATGGTGATTTGTTTTTTTTAATCTTGATTAAATCTTAGGATAGATTTTCTAAGTCCCTAGCTATGAACCAAGCACACAGAAGCTGTATGAAGGCAGTGGGGGGAGGTTCTAGAATACTTTGGAACAGAATGGAAGCTTGGTGATGACTTGGTGGGAATCATGTTTTGCATACTGAGACCCCAACTTTGCCAATGAAGGGGTCCTGACTAGTGACTGGCACCAGGGCCAGTTGCTGCCTCCAGGGGATAGGGCCAGAGTGGAGGAGAGCTGTGACCACCAGGAGCTGTCTGTGCAGCCTGGGGCATCGTTAGCACAGATAAATGATCGCCCAGTGAAGTTCCTCCACAGGTTGCTGTTGAACTGCTCCTAGAGGTCAAATTTACACCAGGCCCAGTCAGCAGCTATGCAGTCCCAAACACAACTCATTTCCCCATTATGGCTTCTGTGTTTCCAAGCTTGTTGCAAGCAAGCTGGACATCTTCCGCATCCATAGGCCAGGTTAACTCCACAGTCTTGCTCCCTCCCTGCTCAAGGAGGCTTGAGGCATCCCCGAGGGAGTGGCATACCTGAATGCATGCAGTGGTCCTCGAAGTTGACAATGAACTCATCAGGTGTGCCTGAGTGCCTGTTGTTGTGTTGTCCTCACTGTTCCCATCAAGGCTCAAAGGTGTGATGCCGGAGGACACTGGGTGGGCACCCTCGCTTATAGACAATCTGCGGCCAGGCTGGTGCCCAGAGGGCCAGGAAGGACACAGCCCCTGGGCTGGCTCTCATAGTGCCTGGCGTCTCTGCTGATGGTGGGAGAGTCTCAACCCTGCTGACAGAGGCGTTCTTCTCTTTCTGTTTAAGCTTCTGCTCTTTTCAACCGAGCCTGAAGGGAAAAGGTGTCATGGAGGACCCACTCAACCTAAGGTAATATCTGGGCCAGCCCTGCTCCCAGGCACAGGGCTGGCCTCGCTGGTGTGTGTGTTTGTTGTTGACTTGGTTCTAATCCAAAGAAGCCAGGCCAAGAGCACCCCTATTTTCCTGACATCTCCCTTCTATGCTCCTCCCCGTACGTCTTCCCTCGTGCTCCCGAGATTAAACAGACTTGAAGTCTCACAAACACTCTGTGTCTGTTTGAGGTTACACAGCAGAATGTAGTCCTATACCAGTGGTGGTGAGCGTAGGTGGTTCATACAGGTGTTAACAACCCAGGAACAGCACCCCATGGGTCAAGTCTACAGGTGCAGGACTCTGAGCCATTCATTCCATATCTTTGCTTCCTACAAGGAAGCATTTTGGAATGTTCGGAGGCTAAACTAAACACAGCTCAAGCTTCCCTAATCCAAAAACCCAGAACGCTTTAAAGTCCAATACTCCTTCAGCATTGACATGACACCACAAGCAGAAAATCCCACATTGGACCTAGTGTGACAGGTTACAGTAGGTGTGCAGTACAGTAAAATGTTGTGTGAACATTTTTATCTTGGGCTAACTGTATAAGGTGTTTCTGAAGCAGAAATGAGGTTAGTATGGGACTTGGGGTGCTGTCTGCAAGATGTCTCATGGTATAGAGGCAAATATTCTGAAGTCTGAAACAATCCAGTATCTGAAAACCTTCTGGTCCCAGGTATTTGGGATAAAGGTGATCAACCTGGCGCTGCTGGTGTGAGTCCCATGGTGACTGGTGAACCTGGGAGACACAGCATCTTCACTGGGTCACCTTTACCTGCACCTGCATCTTAGAATCAGCAAGCGCTTCTGTATCAACTAGGGTGAAAATGATAGAGAAGAATACAGTTGCTTTTTTTCTCCCTGAAGAGTGTAGGAATAGGGCAAGAGGGAGGGGCATTCCTAGGAATGATATCCAAGACAGTTGCTGAGTTTTTGTTCCCCCTGGAAAAGAAGGATTGATACTCGAAATATTTGTAAATATACAACAGGTCCCACCAGTTCACTTAAAATTGGTCTTGGATATCTTGTTACATGTGGTGTCTGCTGCTTGGCAGAATAACAAGTAAAATAGCAAAACCACAAAAACAGTAACAAATGCAAACTCAAACCGGCTCCTGTCCATCCCTGAGTTTATCTTCTTACAAGGACAGACATAAAACAGTAAGAGTGAACTAGAAAACGCAATAGATCACACTAAGTATAAGGGCAAAGTGGATAGAAATAAATACAGGTGTCTTAGAGGGAGTGAGAGTCGTGCCCTTATGAAGAAAAAACACCGGAGCAGAAGTAACAGGTAATTCTACGTCAGCCTGGGAGAAGGCGCGGGGACTCCTAGTAATGGTGCTGGATTTCACTCTGATACATGGGTGGCAGTGTTGTGCGGTTTCATGCAGAGAACAGTGTGGCCTTACTTATATCAAACAGGAGTGTTCTGATGGTTGTGCCCAGAGCAGAGGCTATAAAGTCAAAGGCAAGAAGCTGAAGTTTGATTAGGAAGCCTTTGCCACGTCAAGTTGAGAGATGATGATGGTGATTTGAGTCAAAGAGACAATGGCAAAGATGGCGTGAAGTAGTAAGATTCTGAGTACATACTGAAGGTTCATCTGATGGGATCTGTGAAGAATCAAGTGTCAGAGAGGGAGAGGGAACTTTAGGATAAGATGAAGGACTTTGGTATTGGCCGATGGAGACAACCATTAGAGGAGCGGCTGGAGGGCTGTGGTCACTGTTCGAAGTCCAGTTTCAGGTGTGTGAATAGTGGGAGGCTCTTGGATGTATGAATTTGGAATTCAAGGGTGAGGTTTCAGTATGTTTAAAATAGCTTGCAAAGCAGTGAGAGTGGACGAGATCACCAGGAGGATGTGTGCACGCGAAGAGAAGCCAGCAGAGGAGGTGGGAAAGAAAGAGGTAACCCTTTCAGAAAGATAGCAAAAAGTGCGTTACGGGAAACATTCAGGAAGCTAGGCTGACTGTTTCAAAGTAAGAGAAGGGTCCAGGGTTTTCGGTAGGCCCCCAGTAGAGGCTTCCCTTTGTGTCAGCATTAGCCCTTCGCTTGACAGTCTGTGGGATACTCTGAAGCTGCGCTGCCGTCCAGACCAGAGGACACAACGCAGAAAGTCTGGGCAGCAGTGGGATGCTGGAGATGGAGTGGCTGTTTGCCCACTCTAGTGGGGCCAGTCCAGTAGTCCCACAACAGCCGGGCCCAAACTGTGTCTATCAGCTGGATGTAAGCTCTAGTGAGCTGACAGCATTTGTTGCGCATAAGCCTAATTGCCCTTGATCGGCTCTCTCTGCACCTGTTCAAGCTCTACTCCTCCAGATCTGCCCAGCACAATGGCACTGCTGTTCCTGCAGCTGCCAGTTGTCACTCACCCAGGGGTTCTACCAGAAGCCTCTGTCCTGATTACCCTAGCACAATTTTTTTTCATGCCCATCACAGATCCAATCAAATGCATTCACTCCAAGATCAGGGATAGGAGCAGGCGGTGGGTAGCCTGCCCTGCATGTGGAGGCGAGGCCAGTCCCACATGCCCTGCATGTGGAGGGATATGGCTCAAGGTTCTGTGTCACAAGAATGGAGAACACTGAGGTGCCCACCAGAGCAGGTGACCATCCACTGCCTCATGCAAAGAAGACTCCTAAGGACTGCCACTGACATGGGCTGCTCTCCTCTCAACCCACCTGGAATAATGCTGCATCACTGTGACGTAAATCATGTCATGGAGCCCTCCACAGGTCACCCTCTTCTTAATGTTGTCCCTTGGCTACCTTTTCAGCTGTGTCTGTGACTGTGGGTGGCATCCTGTTTCCTCCTAGTCTGTCGTCTCCTGGGTCTTCCTCCACACTGGAAAGCTTTTGTAGTTTTATTCTAGGTGGAAAGAGGAGGGACACAGAAGGAAGAAAAGAAAGGGCACAGAACATGGGAGCAGACCCCTTGCTGTGTGGCCACTAGGGCGGGACATCCTGGCATGACAACTCTCTATGGAGGAATAGATTCAGAAGCTACCCCTCACACACCAGCAGCTTGGTGCTGCCCCTACACACCCTATTTGGAAGGGGCAGTTGGGAAGTATTTGGTTTTATTTCCATGGTGATTATTTCTGTCGAATCACTGAGACACCGGAGCAGGACATCCCAGGCCTTTTCTATGTCATGGCTGGCACAGTCCCATTACAACTCCAAGCATGGAGACCCTTTAGCAGACTACCATCCCATGGGTCTTAGCTTGATCATGGCTGCTCTGCCTATGATCCAGCTCCCTGCTAATGTGCTCAAGAAAGCAATGGAAGATGACTCAAGTATCTGGGTCCTTGCCACTCATGTGGAGACTCGGATGAAGCTGCTGGATCCTGGATAAAACTTGGGAGCATTCCAGGGAATGAACCAACAGACAGAATAGGTCTCTAAGTCCAGCTTTCAAATAACAATAAAACAATGTTTTAAAAAGGAAAGAATACCTTCAGATCCACCCTTGAATAGCACGATGAGCAACCTGCTGTTTACTGTGAACCTGCTGGTTCCCACCCTGCCACCTCCAGGAACCTGCAGTACTCACAGGGAAGCTGTGTGCTTTCCTCTGGTTGGAGTGTCCTGCTTGGGAGTCCATAGGGACCAGCTCAGCACTGGTCATTTTAGACATGCTCAGCACCCATAGACTAAAGCACATCTTTCCCCCGAAGTGCCTAAAAGTGACGGACATCTGAGGGATCGCAGCCTGAGTGTGGAAGAGCCTCCCTTTAAGCCGGCCATAGCACCTTCTCGATTAGCATAGCATCTGTTGATTGTTGTGTGCAGGCTCTGAAGCCGTTTGAATTTTAATTTTTATGAAAAACACTAACAGATTCACAAGAAGTTGTGATGCAGAGAGCCCCACTGCCCCAGCCCAGGATGCTTTACTCTTCATTTTAAAACTAGGACGTTGACATGGGTCTGTGTGTGGATCCGTGTATCCATCACCAGAATCCAAGCACTTGGTTATCACCACAATGACACCTTGCACACACTCACTCTCACGTGCGCACTCCCTACCTTCCCCCACCATCCTTTACTCCTGGGGACCATGGGTCCAATTTTCATCTCCAACACTTGTGATGTAGAGAATGTTCTATGCATCAGGTGTCATGCAGGGAGGCCCAGGCGTTTGCTGAGTAGTAGTCTATGCTGTGACTGTTCCAGAGTTAACTGTCTGTGCACTGAGGGATACTAACTTATTTCCAGTTTGGGACCACAAATTTGATTTGATCATTGCAGTGTGGGGGTAGGCTTATACCGTTCTATTCTTAGTTTTTGTTGAAGCTGTTACTCATCTGTCTGTTTGCTTTTTCCTCCATACTCATGTGTGGCTGAAATATCTGTGCGAATCACACTTTGATTTGGCCGATCTTTGGATCTGCTTCTCAGTGTAAAGTTGGGTTATCAACTTTAGTTGCCTGAGGTATGTATCATGGCAGGCATGCCACTTTTCAAGGGCTCCTGCTGGTGAGATGACACCCATGTGAGTGTGACAGGTAGAGACCGCAAGTCTTTTCAGCCTTAAAGTTGGCTGAGAAGTCTAATTGTCTAGCATGTTTTGTACACAGAATAGATTGGCATTTTCCGAAAAGTTTCCTCTCTATGCATTTTACACACCACAGCAAAAATGTTTTTAAAGGCATTTTTTTTTTCACACACAGATGACCTGAAAATGAAGAGAGAGTTGAGAGGGATTTCAGAAGCAAGTGAGGGAAGCAGCCACCAGTGGGGTGGGAGTGAGGTAGTGTCTTCTGCTCTTCAGAGTTGCACAACCGTTGGCAGGTCAGGCTTCCGTTATGGCCATGAACTACTCTAGGATGTTGACGGTAACCTGGGGAATGGAGACACACAAGAAGCTGAGGCATTTGCTCCAGGCCACCAAGGCAGCATGAGTAGAGCTCAAAGCACCAGGGCCATCAGGGTCATACCCCACTTGCGGAAATAGTCATGGGTAGGCAGTGTTCTTTCTATGTGAAGATAAAGAAAGCCCCTGTCTTTCCTCGCTCACAAATAGGTTCTGGCAACTTCCAGAAGCCAAGGCTAACAGAGTGTCTACTAGAGCATATGCTGGGGCCAGGCAAAGCCGACGGCCACTGCGGCTCTCAACCTTGAACTGCAGCTCACTAACAATGGCTTTGTTAGATGCGGCTGTGAGCAAAGCCGGGCTGGCACACAGATGGCACCCTGCCTGTCCACCAGCTCATCAACAACAGAGCTAGGAGAAGGGACTGGGGTCGAGAGCATGCGTAGTGAGAAGTGGGCTATGAAAGTGAGGGCAAGGGGGCATGGAAGCAGTCTATGACGAGTGTGCCTTTCTTGGCTTCTCTTCATTGCTGGTCCTTTTGAATCCTAGAAGGGAAAACTAAATATAAAGGAAGTGTCTCAAGCCTGGGAAACAGGAGCAGGCAGGAGCCAGATGGGCAGCAGGGCGCTCTGGCTGGACTGCAGGTGCCATTGGTCTCTGTCCCTGGGACCCGGAGACACAGTGACCACCCAACTGCTTGTGTCCCATAGGGACGTGTCCCAGGCTCCTGAGACCTGGCCACCACGAGTCGTCATGCACATCCCAGCACAACTGTCCTTCCTGCTGTTTGCATCAGGGCTTCTGATCAAAGGGCAGGACACGGCGACCATTTCTCGGATATAGGGGGACATTCAAGGTGTTTCAAAAGTTCGTGGAAGATGAAACTAAAATACGCTTACTATGTTGTCACAAATTTTGAAACCCCATGTATCACACTTACACCATTTTTCCAAAGAACTTGGAAAAAACACTTCATTTAAATGTGTGAAGCCTTTTATAAATTATAGGAAGATAACATTATCAAAAACTTGTTTCTAAAATAAAATACCCTTTAACACATTATTTCCCCAAATGCAGCTCTGCACAAGGAATTGATCCAAACCATGTTAGGACATTTAGTCACGCAGGCTGTGATGACAAAGCTATTTGCATTGGTGAACAATTGGAAGCAGTGTAAAGACTTACACTGTAACTTATAGATACTCGTATCTGTCAGAGCCAGCGTCCTGAAGATGCGCTAAATTATGCTTATCAGGATCACATGCCAACAGCATGTTCAAAGAAAGACAGAAATGGCATGACTGCCATTGTTGTAGCCATCTCTAAACATAGAAACAGACCTGCGTTGTGGGACAGCGGGTTAAGCTGCTGCTTGCCATGCTCACGTCCCATGTCAGAGCACTAGTTCCAGTCCTGACTGCTGCACTGCCGATATAGTCCCCTGTCAATGATCCTGGGATGATAGTACTTGTTCCCCTGCCACCCACATGGGGGACTGGGTGAAACTGGGCTCCAGGCTTCAACCTATGTGGCCATAAAGGGAGTGAACTAGCAGGTGGAAGAATTTCTCTCTCTCTCGCTCTCTCTGCTTTTCAAATCAGTCAATAAAATCCTTTTTTTAAAAAAATAAACATATAAACAGAAAACCAACCAGGAAGGAACTTTGCCAAGGTTAAAGTCGGCTAACACTCCAGGATGTTTGTTAGTTAAACTGTTGTATATAAAACTAGACTGTGGCTTGGCTATTTTTACAATAGAAAGCGTTTGATAAAGGTGGGGGGGAAAAACAAGGAGTGACAATTTTGAATCTAAATCCTTTGCAATTGTAGAGATACAGTAAGGGTTGACAGAGCCAGGTGTGCTGAAAGAAGCAGTGAGCAGTGAGCAGGTGGTGTGTCTGCTGTGGTTCATGATATCAGAAGGAACAGGCTAATTCCTTTAAACCAATATGTGTATGTGCTGCTTCGCATTAACCAAAGCAGCCACGTTTGCCACCGACACAGAAAGTTCTGGAAAGATGCCCCTCTCCTCAAGGTCTTCATTGATGTTTTTCTTTCTGCTCGCTTGAAGGTATGCATGAGAGGGACACAGCTAGCCGTGAGGCTCTGGGCTCTGGTGGGGACTGCGTCTCCTGCTGTCCCCTATGCCAGGGGGCCCCTGGGCATGCGTCGGCCCTGTCAGAGGTGCTATTTTGGCCTTGAGCTGTGCCCAGCTCTTGTTCTTGGAGAGAGCTGGCTTCCCCTCAGGACTTGATCTGGGTGTGGCTGGTTTGGGATGGACCCTCACAGTTAGGTGTGGCATCATTAGGGAGTGTCACAGACAGGGGAACCAAAACTGAGTCAGGGCCCGGCATGACGTCTCAATTAGCACATCCTCCCCCTTCAAGTGCCAGCATCCATATGGGTGCTGGTTCATGTTCTGGCTGCTTCACTTCCCATGTAGCTTCTTGCTTGTGGCCTGGGAAAGCAGCAGAGGATGGCCCAAAGCCTTGGGACCCTGCACCCATGTGGGAGACCTAGAGGAAGTCCTGGCTTCTGGCTTCGGATCATCTCAGCTCTGGCCACTGCAGTCATTTGAGGAGTGAACCAGCAGATGGAAGATCTTTCTCTGTGTCTCTCCTTCTCTCTGTAAATCTGTCTTTCCAATAAAAATAAACAACTCTTTGAAAAAAAGAGAGAAATCCAGTCAGCGGGCCATGAGATGGCAGGTAGGAATCTGCACCTGTGCAGGCCCAGAACCTTCTGCTGTCCTTTAGGCCAGACCAGCTCTCCACACCCCGTGACCCTCATCTCCTAAGCTCCTCAGGTGGCAGTCACATGTCCCATCTTCCCAGCTGACCTCTCTTCCAGCTTGCATGAGGCCAGTCAAGCTCTGCCCAGTTGACCCAGGGCCTATACCTGATGTGGTGCCTAGTAAAGTATCGACTTCTTGAATGCGTCAACCCAAGGCTGCTCTCCTCCATTCCTTCTTCCCACTAGGGTTTGGAAAAGCTCTGGGTGTGTTAGGCTGGGCATGCATCTTCATTCATTCACAGTTACTCTAGGGCCTGCAGGTTCAGTTTAGAAAGCTCCAAGAGCAAATGATACAAGCACAGAGAAAAACGGTACAATTTGGGGCCCAAGATCTTGTCTATACTCATGGCAAGGCCTGTCATTTCCTGTCGAGTGGCTTCTTCCCCTACCCAAGACCACGTGCTTGCTGCTCTCCTGCCAGCTGCTGACCTCGGAAAACCCTGAGCTCCCAGTGTCTTTGTAGAACAAGAGCCTTATCTGGGGGCTGAGGCTGGGTCCTTGCGTGCCAGCACAGATGCAAGTAACAGTTCCTCGGGCCCCAGGCTACTGCAGGTGGGTGCTGGGGCAGAAATTAGACAGTCATTTCCTGATCTCCGGGCCTTCACCTGTGTGAGTGTGAGTGTGCAGAGAAATGTGCGTACCAGCAAGGGACCAAAGCCATGAAATTAACAGAATCACAAGGCAAGAAGATAGGAAAAGGCGTTTTATGGGCTTGCCTGGAGAAATATTGTTGTGGCAAACATGCAGCCCACAGCCCTTTCCCCTCCCTCTCCCTCCCCTCCTGCCTCAGTGGCAGGGTCCCAGGTCACCTCCAGTCTTCCTGGGACTCCTTGGCCAAAGAGTTGGGTGAAACCAAACTGGAAAAGATGGCCTTCCTCGGGGTGGACGTGGCCATGTTCTTGATTTTGTTGAGCTTGTCGCGGGCCAGTTGGCATTTTCTCAGGCAGTTGGCACACAGGTCCTTTTCCTCTACTAGGAATAAGCCATCCAGCCTTTTGATGGCATCCGTGAAGATGTCTGATTCCTCCGTCTTGGGGAAGGGGTTCCTCTTCGTGTTGAGCTTCTTCAGCTTGGGGAGTTTGGAGATGCTGGCGGGGATGGAGCTCAGCAGGTTGTCGTGCAGGCCGACCTCGTGGAGCTCCTTGAGGGCTCCCAGTGTGGTGGGCACACTGTCCAGGTGGTTGAGGCCCAAGTTCATGGTGCGGATGTTCTTGAGCTGGTTGAGCTCCACAGGCAGGCCGTTGGTGGTGAGCCTGTTGTTACTGACGTTGAGATAGAGCAGGGTGGTCATCTGGCCGATGGACTCAGGGAGCTTGTCGATGTAGTTGCTGTGCAGGTCCAGCCAGCGCAGGTTCTGGAACTTGGAGATGGAGTCTGGGATCTTGCGGATCAGGTTGCGGCTAAGATCGAGTTCGTCCACTTCGTTGAGCCGCAAGATGCACTTGGGAAAGGTGGTGAGTCCCATCTTGCTTAGGTCCAGGCGCTTCCTCCCATCCAACGTGACTTTGATGCAGTTCTTGGCCACATTGAGGGTGATCTTCTTGCCCTTGGGGCTTTTCACGCCCTTCGCCATGTCCTTTCAGTGAGTGAGCGTGCTTGCAGGTGGACAGGGCACTGCTCTTCAGGATGTGTGCTCAGCCCTCTGAGGAAGAACTCACATGAAACTTCTGGGGAACAACAACAACAAAAAAAGAGTTTAAACACATGGTTAGGAAATGACATGAGATCTGTGCCCAACTCAGATCTTAGTGCTTTGCTCTGCAAGAGGTTTCATAAGTCAGAAAAGGGATACTAGAGAGGATCAGGCCAGGGGCAGCTGAAACATGGCCAAAGATTGCCAGTCCTTGGTAAGTGAGAGGAGGGATTTGACCTAAAAAATGACGGATGTCTCTGTAGCAGTACCATTCCCTGATGAATGGATTCCGTCTGTTGCATTAATGTGGACTTTCACACATGCCCCATCCCCACTACCACCTCCCTCTCTGCTAGGGTCATCTGTGTGACCCTAGCATATCTGCCTCCCCCTGGACCCACACATAAACCTAGTGTTGGAGTTCTCACCCAAGGGAAGGCCTGATGGGTTCTCATACAACACAAGGCTGGGTTTGAGGAAACAAGATGGTGTTAAGAATGCCTCGTCAGAGCCCACTTCACCGTGGGGAGCCCGAGGAGCTAACTAGTAGTCAGGCCTTGGCTACTACAGCACGAGGGCAACAGAGACATTTGTTCAGCCCAGGAGGGCCAAGCTGGGCCACCACTGTGCTTGGCAGCCTTCTTGTCAACTCTGTAAGTATGGCAGGAACCAAGTGGAGTCTGGACAACCTCAGTGAAGTAACTGCATTTCTCCTTTCTCCCCATGTCCTCCACTTCCTCTCTTGCATCCTTCACCTTGAACTCCAACTGCAGACCTGTCTGCATGTGCAGAAGGGTTGATAGTCGCGATTGCTCCCACATGGAGAAGGGGGCAGACACAACCTCAACACTATTGGCTTAGGAATCCAGCTTGGCTATACACATTTCCCTTAAATTCTGCGTCATGCCTTTCCGAGTATATATGCTGCTGATAGAATTTTAGAATTCAGTGAAGGCAGGCCAAGCTCACCCAGCATGAGTGACATGGACCCTGGGAGGAAAAGGTGCTTCGGGGAGATGGGGGAATCCAGTCAATTATGTCCAGTTTAGCTCACTTCCAACAAGTTGAAAAGAAGCCCCCTTCCTGACTGTAGATGGCAAGGAAGCTGTGTGGAGCAGTTTAATATCCAGGAATCCTTCTCATTCTCCTGTTGCCTGGCGCCTGCCCATCACCCTCAAGGCAAAAGTTAGGGGGCTGCCTGGGTTGATGTACCTCACCCCTACTCCAGTGAGTCTGGATTCTCAGACAGCCCTGGGTTAAAGGCAGCACAAGGCAACCCCCACCACCACCCAATCTCTGGTCTTCCCCACCTTGGACCCTTGCTCTCAGCTACACAGGAGAGTGTGTTAGGCAGGTCTGGGTCCATCCTGATCCCTTAAATCACTGAGCACCACCAGAAGGAATGTCTCTTCTGCCACTCAGCTCTTCAGAAGTAGTCTCCCCCATCTTCATTTGCCCACTGAGAAGGAGGGGAAAGACTAGCACAGGAGTGTGAAACAGCTGGTCAACCAGACTGGTTGCTTGCCCTGCCGTTCTCCATTGCTAGAAGTCCTGCCATGCCAGGATGGGACCAGCACCCACAGGCGAAGCTGGCAGCCATGGAAAAAGGAAACATCAACAGATCAGTAGAAACAAGCAGACTTCAACAGGATTATGGAAAGCAGAATGAGTGCATCAATGTATTCAGATGCAAATCTTTGCAAATTCCACGTAAAAAATAAGTCTTCAAAAAGTTAAAATGTGTATTATGAAAAAAAACCCGCCATGCATGGGTTTCCGAGTATTTTGCACCAAAACAGATTTCTCATTGACAGTCCATTTGACACCCATTTTTTTTTTAAGATTTATTTATTTTTATTGGAAAGGCAGATATACAGAGAAGAGGAGAGACAGAGAAGATCATCTTCCGTCCGATGATTCACTCCCCAGGTGACCACAATGGCCGGTGCTGCACAGATCCAACGCCGGGAGCCAGGAACTTCCTCCGGGTCTCCTGGGGGTGCAGGGTCCCAAGGCTCTGGACTGTCCTCGACTGCTTTCCCCAGGCCACAAACAGGGAACTGGATGGGAAGTGGAGTTGCCGGAATTAGAACCAACACCCATATTGGATCCCGGTGCATTTAAGGCGGGATCCCAGCGCATTTAAGGCGAGGACTTTAGCTGCTAGGCCACTGCACCAGCCTGGCTACCCAATGTTTTGCAGTTGCCTCCGAGAAGGTGATCTGGTTTGGGTGCGGCTGAGTGTCTTCCCATGCTTCATTTGTCCATATGTAATCACCGTGAGAGGGTGGGAGTTTAATCTGGCCATGACGTTGGAGATGGGGCTACAGGAAAGTGATCAGGACTGGTGCTGAGGCCACAGCGGTGGCGCCCCATAACTGAACTCCAGGAGCATTGTAGTAGTGATAGAGAGGCCGGGCACCCACATCCCTGCCTCATGCCATGTGATACCATGTGCTACCTCGGAGCTCTGCCAGCAAGATAGCCCTCGCCATACGTGTGCCATCGAGCCTCCAGAATTATGAACTTTTTCTTCTTAAGTAGCTTACCTCATGCCCTTCATCATAGGTCAAGAAGCTGACTAATGTGGATGAGTGGATGGACAACAAATGTCATTTCACATGAACGATCTAGAATCCTAACTCAGAATTTTCTAAATGTGTTGTGCCTTTTTGTCTTCTATTGTTTGTTGTTCTACTTTGGGGGGAAAACAAAGTGGACCAATTGGTTTGACTTTAATTTCTAATTAATTTTTTATCTCATCATTATGAATCAAACAGCATGGTAGGACACCCCGTGGATATCTAAATTAAAAATGTAATGGCAGTCTATATTTTAATGCCGCCAAAATCTTTGCAAGCATATCCTATTGTACCATCCTTGGTGTCACTGACTCCTGCAGTTGATCTGGCACGTCACTCATGGGTCTTTGACCACATTTTTCAGACTGATTTTGTGTCTGTTTATCTGCTATCTCCGAAAATCTTGTTTATTTTTTATTTATTTAGAAGGCACACACAGAGAGAAGGAGGGAAATCTTCCACCCATTGGCTCACTCTCCAAATGGCCTCCATAGTTAGGGCTGGGGCCAGACCAAAGCGAGGAGCCTGTGGTCCCATCCCGGTCTCCCACATGGATGGTAAGAATTCAGGTACTTGAGCCATGACTCACCGCTTCTCGGGTGCAGGTACTGGCAGGGAAGCAGAGTAGCCAGGATGTAGATGTCCGTCCCCGGTGGCAGTTTAACTTGCTGTGCCATAACACCCACCCTGATTGCCCAACAATTATCCTCTTTTTACTGAACATTGACACAAGATAGATACATGATAAAACTGATAATTACCCCTGTCTCATAGCTAGTGGTTGAGATTAACATCATGGAAGTGAACATCATGCCATGACTTTTGCTCCTCTCTCTCTCTCTCTCTCTCTCTCTCTCGTGTGTGTATGTGTATAAGTCATTGAGAAGCAGAAGAACTGAGGCAGAGAGAAACTGAGTTAACGTGCCCACTAAAGACCTAGGCCCAACCGAGGCTAAAGCTAGGAGCCAGAGCCTTGGGATGAACTCTGCTCTCTGCTGTTTGCCAGGGTCAGTAGGAGTGGGAATCTGGAGTGAGAGCCAGGAATCGAACCCAGGTCCTCTGATACAGAATGCAGACATCCTAACCAAGCACATGACCCTGGGCCACCTCTTCAAAGGACATGATCAAATGGCTGAAAGATTCATTCATTCAAAATATAGATGCTCCCTAAGTTACAATGGGGTTATTGTGAATCCAAAATGTAGGAGGTCCACCTCACCTACAGGGCGCTCTAGCTGAGCCACACAGCACGCTACAGATGTTTCTGTTTTTGATGGTGGGGCTGATGGATGGAGCTGTGCTGGCTGCTGCCAGTGTCCTGAGAGGGTGATCAGAGTGCAAAACCTCTATGCCCAGAACTGCATGCCCGAATGTAAAATCCTAGGATATCACCTGTAATCATAATTGCACTGTGGACTTGTCCCTGCTGCCAGCTCTCACATATGTTAGCCTAGCTCACCTCACTGTAGCTTCTCCTGTGGCTTTCCTGTCATTCCCCATGCCCTCGATCCCTCCCCACCACTGGGATGCATACTCTAAAGCCACAACCAGGCTTTGTCCTCATGGGTGAAAGCATGTGGCTGGTGGACACATGCAGGTCTCCGTGGGTCCGTTCTGGGCAGTGGGAGAGTCTGCAGTCTGTGGTCCAGCCACTGAAATCGGTGCTCATTGTCCATTCAGGTGTGGTCTGCTCTGGGCAAAAGGATGTCCAGCACTTGTTCTTGGCTGGGAGCTGGCTGCTGTGCTGCATGGTGTAGGGGTCTTACTGGGTTTTTTTTTTATAGTATAGATGCATTAGAAAGCAGTTCTTTCTCCCCTATGTACTCCCAGCCATGCTACCCTGGGCTGTCGCTTCCCAGAAGCAGAAGGACAGACTCCTGGAAAGCAGACCGAGGAGAAGCAGAGATGACTCTGCACTTAGCCGTAGTTCTCCCAGACTCTTAGCAGAGCTGATGGGCAGACGGTGGGTCAGAGGGAGACACAGACAGCAGGGGCTGGAGTCTTACAGGTGGGGATTTTCTAGCATCAATTTTGGAAGTGTGTCTGAGTGTCCAGAGTCCCTCACCATGATTCACTTGGGTGGCATGTGCCAAGGTCTCCTCTGGCTACCTGGTGCAGGACCCTTGTGTAGCTGGTGTCCACAGCAACTATGCAGAAATCACTAAGACACAGAGCAGGGCCCAGCGTGATAGCCTAGCGGTTAAAGTCCTCGCCCTGAATGTGCTGGTTCTAATCCTGCTTCCCATCCAGCTCCCTGCCTGTGGCCTGGGGAATGCAGTCAAAGACGGGCCCAAAGCCTTGGGACCCTGCACCCCCTGGGAGACACGGAGGAAGCTCCTGGCTCCTGGCTCCTGGCTT